ATAACCAGACACACCTCAGAAGTGGCTGCCAGCGTTCTTCCCAAATCCTTCACGCTCGGCTGCTTCTCACCTCTCCCCCTTCCCAGCTGCGTTTGTGGGAAGGAGAGGCCCAACATTATGGACAAAATAGCTGTGTGGATGGAGTGTGTGGAGCCCTGGCTGTGAGGGCACATGGATCAACATCCTCCCAGTTGCTGGAAGCAGATATCCATCATACCAACACACTGCCACAGGAGAGGGAGGATCAGCCTGGTTCCCGGTTTTTGACAGCAGAGTTCCTCTTCAGCCACGCTGCTTTTTCTTTACCACTGAGTCATGGAATGGTTTGAGTTGGAAAGGACCTTAAAGACCATCTCATTCCAACCCTGGCCATGGGTAGGGACTTTTCCAGGTTGCTCCAACCTGACCTTGGACACTTGCAGGGATGGGAAGTGTTTCATGTTGATGAATGACAGGTACCTTCCTGCACAGTCAGTATATATTGGGGGTTGTTTGGGGTTTGTTCTGGGTTGGGTTTTTTCTTTTTCTTCCTTTCTGTAAGTTATGATTCTCATAAGAAAGTATGTGGAGTCCAGGGCTGCCCAGCCCTGCTGATTCGGAGCACAGGGCACTTGTTTAGTGCCTTATTCCATGTGGGCAAACAGGGAAGGGAACACAAAAGGGGAAGGCGGCAGCAAAGCCGGAGCACCTCGCTGTTGATAAGGCAGCTCAGAAATAGGTTGTGACAGCTGAACTAATGATGTCACCAATGCTGATACCAGGGGGCTGCTTCTCATTATGATTTCTGTCCCAGACACGGTGACATTCCCCAGCCAATGCGAGTCTCCAGCAGATGATACATGGAACAATCCGTAGGAAACGTGGTGCCCGATGGAACGTTCCCCCAGCTTTGGGGTTTGTTTTGTTTCACAAGGGCACGGTGCTTGTGTGGATGATAAAGGTGTGGAGGTCAAGCTCAGCTTTGCTGGACTGCTTTATCAAACTGGGGTCAGAGGGCTCTTGTTGTGACATTTAGAGATAAGCATTTGGGAGGTAAATGAGATAGAGCAGCCTGCAAAGAAATCAGAAGGTGCTCGTGTAGCTTCAGACCTCAAGTAAATTACAAATCCAGTGTTGGTAGCCTGACCACTGATACGTCCTTTGTGCTGTACAGGGTATTAAGATACAGATAAATAATGCAGTTTAGTTGTCAGAAAGATGCATTTGTTGCTCGGGATTTTAACTTAGATTTATTCTTGGTTTATTTTCTGTGGAGTTATTTTTAATGAGAATGGAAAGGAAGCTAAAAATTATGTGGATTCAGGTTTCATTGTGTAGCTACTTGATCAAAATGTAAACTCATTGTTTATACTCTTGTAAAGAAAAAATTGCTATATTGGTTCTCAGTGATCAGATTTGATTCAGATAATGATACAACATCCTAATTCAGAGGCTCTACTTCAGATACTGAGTTTGTCTGTGATACAGCCTTTTTCAGAGAACTGCTCTAGCCCTGGTAAATGATCCAGAGAGAGAGAGAGAATGCACATATTTAGATGGCACGGAAAAATAGGCTAATAATGGGATTGTATAGGAATACTCAAATATTTCAAAGTGTTTGTGTTGATAAATTATAATTTGCTTTAACATTCAATTGCATGTACCCTTTTCAGCTGTTCTGCTTGGCTGCAGTGCTTTGGTAGCTGTGTGAGGGCTGGAGCTGGATGCTTTTCCTGTTTTGATCACAGCCCAGGCAGTAAAGGCCACCACACTTTAAACAGATAATAAATCATGCGGTGTCCTTGCTAACCAGCACTGCAGATTCCCCCGGGTCTGAACTGAACGTCCTTCTTTCTGTTCAATTTAGTGTAAAGAAGGGAAAATTCTATTTGAAGTTAGGGTAATATTTTGAGACAAAGTCTGATGAGGAATTTTTCCAAACTGCCAAAAATAAATCTCCCCGGCAGAGCTGGAGCTGGTGACTCGAGGCATATGTATTCCTGACTTCTGTCTGTTTATTTTTATTTCCCTTTTATTGTGAGCTGTCTAAAGTTTTGATGTCGTTTCGCCAAGGAAGGAATTATAGGAGTAGCCTATAAACTCTTTCCAAGGGGGAGGCTGGAAGAGGGGGGTGAAGAGAAAAACTGGTGTGAAAAAGGTGTTTTATGCATTTTGTGATGACTTGGGCCATTTATCCACTCACCTGCTTGGAGTATTTGATTGTGTTTAAAATACTGGAGCTCATTCCTTGCAGTTCCCTTTCTAAACCTGTTTGCTCTGTGATGGTAATGTCAGGGGGATGCTCTCTCTCAATTGTTCAGCTGCAGCAGATTTCAAGTTATTGTGAAGATTTCGAGTTGTCAGAGCATTTTACTCTGTTCAAGTGTGTGCTCTAATGACCAGTGTGTCCTGGGATTGCCCAGCACTGATTGCAGTGGGATAACCCATTGCTTGCCAGTGGGACTGAAGCACTTTGAGCTGTTTTCTCCTCCATCAGGAGATGTTTTACCACCACCAAAAGCCTCTGCCTGAACCAAGCACGACACATTTTCCCATCGTGGCACGAATTTTGCTTGGTAATCTTCTGATTGCTGGGATGAGTGTTTGGCATCCTGAATTCGCTAAATGGATGTGTGGGAATCAGAGTTTGCACTTGAAGGGTTTTTCTCCCTGTTTGACAGCTTGACCGGCTGTTTTTGTGCCTTTGGGATGCTTCCTGTATTCCTTTCCTCTCCTCTTCTCTCTCTCGTTTCTGTTACAAACCAGCCACCACCATCTCTCATTATTCAAGATGAATAAGAGGTGAAGTCCTGACATAGTTTATATAATGAAATAAAAAGTGCTGCAAATCCTGTCTTCCAGAAGTTTGGATGTGTCAGAGGATGCAGTTAAATAGCAGGATCATGCCATGCAGACACAGAGGAGCAAGGATTACATTCTGCTGCCTCTGGATCTGGAATTAGATCTCCTGTATTTCTGCTTTCACTTCTGACATCACTTTCATGGCTGGTGCCAAACTAGTGAGTAAATTCAGAGGCAATACCAGGGACAAAAGCCCTAAATACAGTGATTTCTGACCAGCTGAGATTTGTATTTCACGAGAAGTTGCTTTGCTTGGATGGTATAATTTTTCCTGATTTTATAAAGGGTTGCCAGTATTTGGACTGTAAATCTAATTCTCTCTGTGTAATTTTGCTGAGTGTTAAAACCTCCCATGCCAGATTTTGGCCTTGAATCGGACATTTATTTTGCCATCATGGTTATTGTTACTTTCTTCAATGTCAGCATCATCAGGTTACACAGAAAACATGTTATAAAACCTGCACAGCCCTCTGGTCTCCCGGAGGAGGCAGGGAGTGGGGAAAAGCTGCTCAACCTGCCAGTTTGCTTTGGTAGAGGTGTAATTTGTAGGTGGTTGTGATATGCAAGGACAGTACCTAACCTTTTCCTTTCCCAAAACAGGCAGCAGGAGATACCAGGAAACATTTAGGTGACTTGGCTTGGTCCAAGAACAGCAGCACAGTTTGGTTCAGTGTGAGGAGGGAGCTTAGAAAGCTGCAACATTATCCTTGATGGGGATTAAGCTGTATTTTAGTGCAGTAACCATGTCAGAAGTGAAATTTGGCTGATCATTTGTCTTTGATAGCTTCATTTGCCTTTGGCCCCTTAAGCCATTTCTCAGGGAGTGGGAGAACTCCTGATCCTCCAACTCTCTGCATGACTTGTCATTTAAATGACAAAAATCAGTTCTCTCAAAAGCCTATTTTTCCTTCAGGAAAGGCAGATTAAATCCAGGGCTGAGAGTGTTTTGGTGAGTGGTTTAATGTCCAGTACGTAGCATGACTGTAGATGTAAAAGTAAATGCATTGGAAGAAGAGAATTTCCCAACTTTTTTAAGGTCACCTTCTTTTCCAAAAAGCATTGTAGGACTTTTCCAGAGCATTGTAGGACTCTGGATTGATGGGAGTGTCCAGAGCCTGACAGAATCTCACCTGGCCCTAAAAATTGGCCTTTAGCACCCACACTGATTCTGGTCAGCTGAGCCTTAGAAGTCTCCAAGAATGGGAAATTCACCTTCTTCCCAAAGCAGTGCTGCCCTTCTAAATGCAGCATCATGTTACTGGTTTTTACCTCATCAAGGTTCATTTCTGACCATGAGGTCACTGCTTGTGTCTTGTCAATGGCAAAACCAGGAATCCAGCATCTTGGCTGTGCATCAACAGTAGTGTCCTCTGTAAAGTCACAGGACTTTATTCTTCAGGCTGGCACATAATTAGAATGATGAGAATTCCACCAAAATCAGCTTAAAAGTGGAGCCACAGAGAATTCAGTGTACAATACGTATACCTTTTCTTGTCCTAAATTATCTTGGTTGCTAGGTAAAAATGTGCTGTAAACCTTTAGATTGGTTCTGTGGGCAGTATTTTAATGACTTTTAAAGCACTTAAGTGTGTTGTTGATTTGGAAGAAGAGATTTTGAGTAACAGAGTAACCAACAAACAGTACTGTCATCTTCAATGTTCTCCAGTTCCCTGATGGCTAAAATCAAGAGCACTCCTGAGAAAAATAACAAATAGAAGGGAGGTTTTACAAAATAGCAGCACTCTTAGTTGAAATGATGGTCCAAAGTCATCTTCCTTTAAGCCTGGCTCCCATCTGTGGGAATTTCCTTGGCGTGAGCTCAGAGGTGTAGCTGCTGTGGACGCAGATAGAGGCATTTGCTTCTAATCGTATTAATGTTTCAGCTGAATTAGGGGACTGAAGGCATTCAGTGCTTACCCAACATCACCACAGTGTTGATAATTAATACCATTTGCAGCAGATACAGGTGTATGTCAGACTGGGAATTCAGACCTGTTCAAAGTGAGTCCCAGGTACGCTCCTGTTTTAATCAAAGCTCCCGTAAAACGCGATCAGAATTTCAGCGGCGCTTCAGGACTGAAAGTAACGTCAGGAAAAAGTTGGCGACGACTCGCCCTTCCAGATTTTTTCTGATGGAATGTCTCGCTTCTCTCTTCCAGGACCTGCGCAAACAGGTAGCTCCGTTACTGAAGAGTTTCCAGGGAGAGGTAAGAGCTTGTTTGTGCTTCTCGTGGTGCTTTTTGTGCTGCTTCACACGAGCCTGGTGTGCTGGTGGTCTGTGAGCGTGGCCAGGTGGGCACAGAGCCCCTGGGCAGGGCAGGGCAGGGGCTCAGCCCTTTGCATTTTGCTGTGTGCAGGATGTGTGTGTGCACCTGGAGGGTAAGAAAGGTGGAGAGGGACGTTTTACAAGGGCATGGAGTGACAGGACAAGGGGGAATGGCTGCAAGTTGACAGAGTGTAGGTTTAAATGAGGTATTAGGAAGAAATTCTTCTCTGTGAGGTTGGTGAGGCCCTGGCACAGGTTGTCCAGACAAGTTGTGGCTTCCCCATCCCTGGAAGTGTTCAAGGCCAGGTTGGATGGAGCTCTGAGCAACCTGGTCTGGTGGAAGCTGTGCCTGCCCATGGCAGGGGGATGGAAAGAGATGATCTTTTAAGGTCACTTCCCATCCTTTCTGTGATTCTGTGGTACACTGGGTTTTTGCTGGGCAACTTAAACTGGCCCTATCACTTTGTTCTCAGCATCCCTGGGCACGACCCAGGTGGCACATCCAGGTCACTGTGCCTCGCCGACCTCACGGCTTGAGCTCCTCATGAATGCAGTGCAATGTACTTACACACAACATGTGAGAACACTACAAATAGTTCTCACTGCAAACCTTTTCAACTGTAAAACATTGCATTTAAGAGGGCTGATGGAAAACCTTAATTTGGCAGGTGTTTGTTGGAAGACCAACAGAAAGCATTAACAGCTCTGGTGCTGGCTCTGGCTTTGATTTCTCTGCACACCGCTCCACTGAGGGCACACGAGTAGAGTGCTCACGAGTTTCAAAGCCAACTGTTGTTATTTTGAAGTCTTCCTATAGGCAGAGGCAGCTGGGCCACTTAGAGGATTTTCCATTTTTGCTGTGGCCAGCACTGGAGTGCTCACTCACGTGAGGCCGGGTGGGACCTGTGGTGCCACCGCTGGGAAAACCTCAGGGATGGAGGTTGCAAATTCCACTTCCTCAGTCCATGAGTTGTTGGCTGACTTTATATCGTGGCAGTTCCCACCAGCACAGAGAAATTGAGGAGCGTGTTTTCAGCAGTCAGCACAGAGAATTAGGTGCACAGCTCCCCTTACTGAGGTTTGCATTTGTACATCCCGCTAGATCTGTATCCCAGCTAGGCAGTAACTCCTCATTTAAAAACAGTGTGGTGGTTTTTGTTTTACAACCCAGTTTCCCATGTATTGTTAGAAATAAATAAATAAACATGACAACTTTGTCCTTGATGTATCTAATAGACATTTGTGAGAACAAAGAATGACTTGTGCCAGTCCGTTTGCCAATGGAAATTTACACTTTAAAATTGCTCTGAGTGGATTGCAGTGCTTTTAGAACCTTTTCACTTCACTTTCAAGCTTGCAATGCACTGACTGAAAAGTGCATGTGTGCCTTCAGCACTGTTTTTCATGAAGGGGATGTCTGAGGATCAAATGAGAAGCATAAATCCAAATCTGGCTACAGTGAAGAAGATTTTCCCGTTAGATCTCTCCACAGACAGCTCCCTGTTCCTGTGTATGGCTCATACACACTCCTCCTCTGTAGTTTTGCTTCACTGATACAAAAATGAAGTTTATTTTGGTACAAATTCAACCTCACAGGAGTAAAATTTGTTGGTAGAAATCCCCTGTTACGTAAATGAAGCACAAATACCTTACAAGATTGTGCTGCTGAATCTCTGAGCTGGTGATTCCAGTCTCCCTAATCTAGACAGGGTTTTAGAAACCTAAAAAACCTGAACTAATTATGATTGACTACATAAATGCACAACATTAAGCTGTGAATTGTGGTATTTGATTATAGATGTAATTACTGTATCTTGTTTTGGAGACAAATCAAAATACGAAGGATATTGGTCTGTTCTGTTGAGTTATTTTTGATTGCTCAGGATATAGATCTGGTTTCTGTTTGCTGTTAAGGCTGGCTTTCTAAAAGATCAGGAGATGAATGCTCCAGGTATCTCAGGGACGAGCTGTGTTAAGCAAATAGGCTTTTTCCCATTTCAAATCCGCCGGAGATGCCTCGATTACCGAGGATTTCCTGAGCTGGCTCAACTGGGATGGGACACCCACCCCACCAGCCCCATGGGGTTGCTTTACAATGGTGTGTTACCTGTTGGGTGATATTTACTGTCCTGGGAGAGCTGGCAGAGGGACCTTTTGGTCACACATACCTGTGGGATGTCAGCAGGGAGGAGGAAGGAGGAGGAGGACAAGAGGTGCCCTGTTTTTACTGCACAGATGTCGGTTTTCAGCCCCAAGTTTGTCCCTGGAATTGTTTGGACGGGGCTCTGAGTAACCTGGTCTTAGTGGAAGGTGTCCCTGTCCATGTCAGGGCACAAAGTTTTCTTTCTTTCCCCTTTTTTGCTGGCTTAGTTTCCCACCAGGTTGGTTCAGAGCAGCAGCTCAGTGCAGGGGAGAGGCCAGGGGAGCAAAGCCAAGGGCAGGAGCAGAGCAAATGTGTCAGCTCAGGTTGACTTAAACTGTCCTTGAACTGCACCTTGGTGAGCCTGACGTGACTTGGAGAGAGGTGAAGTTAAGCTCAGGTATTTATGTATCCTCCCAAGTGTGATTTGTGGGAGCTGCTGGTAAACCTGGGGCCAGCAGACTTTTTAAACAAATCCACAGGTCACTTTAGCCAGTATTTGTTTTCTTTGAGCATGGAATATTGATACTTCCCACCCTATTTTCCCTTTGTATAATACGAATTTCTAAATAAACCCCCAATACAGAACATTCTGTTTTCCTTAGTTATTTATCTCATTCATTCAGATAAAATCTGTTTCAGTTATCAAATAGTTTCCATTGGTAGCTGGAAATAACTTTTTTTGTATAGATCTCAGTGTGTTAAGTAACTGGATTTTTTTATGGTGAGTTAAAGTAAAAGCATTTTGAAGTGAAATTTAGCATAGTACCAGTATTAAAATGCATTCCTATTTCAGCATGAGACTCTATTAATTCATCACTGGAGAATAGTTTTATTATAGTACTTTTTCCTTATTTAGGATTTTAATGGAAATGTGAATGCAGTTTTCTAATTGAACAGAATGTTGTGTCTGATTCAAAGCTGATGGTATTGTTCTTTTGATTTTTGTGAGTAACTCTTCTGGCTTTCCTGAAAGATTTAAGGTCTGGATGGTGCAAAAAGGCTATTGTGAGAAGACAATTAAAGCCATTAATTTGAGAGTTGTAAAATTCCTGTCGCTTCTATCTTAAATCTATCTTTTTTTTCTTTTTGGTTCCTTTTTCTTACCATTAACCTGAGGATGCAACTTATTAATGGTTTGCTCACCCTGTGCTGGGCTAAATACAGGACAGAATCAGAAAGAGGTTAAAGAGCTTTATCATTCAATCACAAAATGATTATATATAATTTGCAAGGGCCTCCTGCAAGCAGCCATGTGAACAGCCTGTGTTTTGGGTTGGTCACTGTGGGTACATCAGTGCATGGATATTTGTACCTGAAATCTGAGAGGGGGAAAGCAAAAAGAAGGGATGTTCTTTGGGCTGTGTTAATTCACAGAGCCTGTGGTATGGAAATCTAACATTGGAATCTGTATTTGTGAAGTCATCAGACAGATATTTTAAGGCTGGGAAAGGATTTCCTGAGGTCATTACCATTCTTTTCATGTGGCATAAGAGCACTGTCCAACAGTAATGCAGTAATCCCTCATTTGGAGAACCCTTTAAGGCACAGACTCCGAAACAACGAACTGGACTTGATTTCTGGGAAAGCCATTTCTCATATTCTTCTCGCAGAGCAAGTACTTTTAAGGGTATTGCCATTCTGATGAGACCACTCTGGCTCCCCACTTAGCTGAATTGCTCTTTAAACTATTAATTTGGTCAGTGGAGTAATTTAATAATTTTCCATACGCAGACAACAGAAGCTGAAAATCAGTTTGATGTGCTGGAACTACTAATCATGCCTTTGAAGGAGTACTCTAATAATGTGTGTGCCTAAACCACTACAGACCTACATTCCTTCTGCATTTTGAAGGAGTATTCCTGAGCCGATACCTCATATTTTTTTAATTTTTTTTTATTTTTTTATTTTACCCCCTTTAATTTCCTCATGTTAAATTTCCAAACCTAATTAATACAATTTCTTTCCTGTAGGTTCACTCCATGATGGCTCAATTAGAGCAGCAGTAGAACTGTGGTTCAATATTCAGGCCAGCTTCATAATTGAAAACACATTTTCTTCTCAAAAGCTGCAGCTGGTTTGGTTCTGCTCATGCAGAAAAGGATATAACCTTGCATAACATAGGAAATGAACGGTTGAGAGAGAAGCCAAATTCAATTTCAGTCAGATATTTTGAGGATAAGTCCATGATCTATGGAAGCAAGGGAATGAAAAGTGTGTGTATGTGGAAAGCAGCGTGTTCAGCACTCTATTAATCACGGCCAGCCTGGGTGCTGTTGTGTGCCTTGCGTTAGCACTGATGCTCGTACAGAGGCTGGAGAGCAGCCAAGCACTCCAGAAGTTAACCTCTTAAAGACCCTGAGCTGCTTTCTGTTGAATAAATGTAATTTTGTGGTCAGAAATAAATGCTTGTGATGTAGCAGGAGCTTTGAAAACAACAGCGTGGCAAAGCTATTACAAATTGCTGTGTGTTGGGGAAGTCAACAGCATACATCAAAATCCAGCGCTGTGTTTGGGCCCAGAGCTTCCCTGCTTTTCAGTGGAAGTCCCGTTAAAGCACTGCATTTACCAAAATGGAGTAAAGTGAGTATTTTTGGCAGTTAATTTTCTCTTAATGTCCACTCCACCTCTCGGTTCTGTTCCCCAAAGCTGCTGGAGAGGGGAGAGGTCACGACCTCCTCTTGGGGTAACAGCAGCTCCACAGCCATTCATTGCTTTGTTTACAGAAGTGTGCAAATGATTATTTATTTATTTTTGGCTGGCTTGATTGCAGTTTAAACAACATCTTTCCTGAGGAAGGT